TAAAAAACTAGTGAACTTGAAACGCGGTGCTCAGAGAGAGCGTCCGAACGCTATTATTACTTTTGGGAGAATTGTGAAATCTTGATCAAGTGAAATTGTGGTTAGATCCACATGTGTTTTATCTGTATAAATAGGCTAGGTGCAGAGATCCGCCGAGATCTCAATAACGTTGAATTAATTGATATGTGCTGATATCATTGACAGTTATTGTATTAATTGCAGTGAATCTGTAGATTAATTCACCTCACTCGGAACGAGTTGAGTGTTACACGGCGCTGTAAGATAAGAATCTAAATAGTGCTTTTTGGTTGTGTAGTGCAGATGTGCTGACATTTCACTGACAACCCACAGCTAGTAAGCTCACATGCTCATGCTGTGTACGTCACCATAGTAACAAGTCGTAACCCGGAAGTCAAAGGAAACCTTTTCCGGAGGTAACTTTCAGCCCGCCAGCGCCATTTTGTTAGCTGTTTGTAAACAGATAGCCAAGCTAAGCTATTAGCATTGAAGGCTAGTGGTTAGCACGTATCATTGTGTGGTCTCAAATGCAGAGTGTTGTGCGGTGTTTGAAGTGTTGAAGTGACCTGATCAGTTACATCTGAACGTTGTCTTTCGCTATTTCATACTGATTTCATCCTACCTCTCTCCTCTTCTCTCACTGAAAAGGAACACTCCCAAACGCGAACGTAATAACCTTGTGTACACAATCATAGTTGAGTTTTAATCACGTTTATTGAAGGTTTAATAACCTTGTTTACGCAATCATAGTTGGGTTTTAATCACGTTTATTTAAGGTTCTCCCTTGCTTAAAAGCTGTTGTTGTCTTTGTTTTAAAATTTAATCCTGGTCCTCAGCCTCATTACTTTAATGCTACGTTGTGATTAATTCAGCTATAACTGTTCTTGTAATTTGAGGGACATCAGTAGATATTATTGATTTGCTATACTTAAGGATTGGAAATCGTTAATTTAACTTTGTAATTAACTACAGATTTGAAATTTTAATTTCATTTCATAAATTAATTCCAGTTCCTGCTTCCACATAGTAACAATACTTATTGATGAAGTTGAATTATAATTGCTATTATAATTTAATGACACCAACATTAAAATTTGACTCATTAACTATCAATATTGCTCTAAATTTTTAATTTCAGTAAATAGTTAAATAGGGTTGGGTTTCCCTATTCAATGATA